ACTCACTTAACAATGAGTACCAAAAGTGCTAAAAAGTAAAAAACAAAACTATTAAACTTACAATTAATATAATGATGATATTATTTTTAATCAAAAATGTCAAATCCTCGTATTCATCAATGTCAAGGCCACAAGTATAAAGCATATCGAATTACCAAATCCTCATATTCATCAATGACAAAGCCAAATCCTCATTTTTTTTTTTATACTCAAATTATATTAGTGTTATAATATTAAGTAGTGTTTTACTATAACTTTATACAACATATATAAAACCAATCATAGGAATCCTAATCATTCAAATATATGCATTTAAAGCATTATGTATGTAGCCAGCTCTCTCAGATTAGACACTGCAGTGTGGCACCGACAAATAGAAGAAACTGTACATTTTGCTTTCAAACGTATCATATCAAAATTACCACATACAAATAATTTATTGTCACATTTTATTTGGTAAGCAACGGTAGAGTCATTTCTATGCAACAGAGCAAAAAACACACAAATAAGAAGAAACACCTTCAAACGATAACAAAAACTTGGAAGAAATGCAAGAGCTGTAAGAACAGAGTGAAAAGGATCAGATTTCGGAATGGAGATCGTTGGAGAAGAGAATCAAACCTAGCAGGGAAGAGAAGCTTACTGCGATGCTCCCAACCCTCGAGAAGAGAAGCTTACTTCAAGCTCGCTGAAGATGGACTTATTAATCGGTACAATCATAAGCGATAAGTGTCGTAGATCTGACCTTTGATCGCCATGAGAAGGGGTTTCTTAGGATCGGATCCATCGTAAGCGATAAGCTCCTCCTCTGTTCCCTGGCCGAGCTGAACTGGCGCCGGAAGCGGCTCCACCAGCTCAACCTCCACCTCCCGCTTCCTCGCAATGGACGTCGGCTCAAAGTAGGCGGAGACCACGTCAAGAAGGTCGCCGAAGATAGCCCCGTGTAGGACTTGATCGCTTGCTCGAGCGTCGCCCACACCTCCTTCACTTCCATTGCTTCTCTGCGTCTTCTTTGTTCCGCGAAACTTATCCACCACAGCTCCAAAAACGCGGCAACAAACGAAAAAAAACAGAAGCAGCTTGGTACTGCGCTGCTGGAAAAAATCGCCCACAAAATAGGCCTAAGAGCCATCCAGACCAGAGCTCTGATTTCAATATACCGACTCAACAAAACAGATCCAATTATACAAATTTGGTTCAATAAGAGACAAATCAAGTTCAGATCAAGTCATTAAATCATTTTTAGAAGCATTTCAAGGATATTTAAAAGGTTAAACGGATGTTGAATATGACGAGTTTATGGTTGAATCGAGAGTCTCGATAAGACGACTTCAACGAGCTCAAGATCGCTCAATTCCAATATTGTCAAATCACTCAAATTCCCATCAAACACCATCATATCGACAAAATCTCTCCGGGATTCTAAAGAGTCCTACCCCTCCTTGAAAAAAGAAGAGAGCTTGAAGCCTAAAGAGAGGGCTTGAAGCCTAAAGAGAGGACTTGAAGCTTGGAGAACGAACTAAAGTTCAACATCACCTCGTTGTCGCTCACCTCCGACCATCATTGGTCGCCTCCCACTTCTTATGACAAGCTGATTCGCACACCAACGTCGTAACACTAGAGAATTTATAACTCTTTTTTGCTTGTGTGACAAAGGTTATAAGTGTAATCAACAATTTCTAGTAGATCTTGTCAACTGAGTAGGACTTCATGATTTTTTACCTTTCCAAATTTTTCACTTAAAAGTTCTAGTCTCTCCACTTTTTGTTTTCTTTGATAAGAGCATGTACAACGCTAAAAAATACAATAATATTATTAATAAAAATTTATAGAAAATATATAAATAAAATAAATTTAAAAAAAAGTAATATATATAAAAAATCAAAATTTAAAAGAAAAAACGGGACATTGACGTACATAGCACACAATTTATGTATTTTCATATCTGACACCAAAACATTCATAATTACATAACACTAAATCTTCAATATTACAGAAAAAAAAAAAAAAACCATTACCTCATTTAAAAGTGAACACACATTTTCATACATTTAAAACACCAAAATGCCATATCAATAAATATGAAAGTTTAAATGTAAGATATATAAATACATAAGAATTGTCTGCTAGGTACGTAACTTTCAACAATAACAACAACACAGCCTTAATCCCACTACGTGGGGTCGACTATATGAATCTGTTTTATTCATTTGCTACGTATGTAACTTTCCCACAATTAAAATTTAAATAAAAAAAAGATCAATTCCATATAGACCACTCAAAAATATTAATATTTATAAATTAACCACTAATTAGATTTTTGAACTACCGAACCAATATATTTACATGTGTTCCAATCAAACTATTAAGAATTTGATAAAAGTAAAAATAGTTGTTGAAAATTAGGTGAAACCTATTTAATCGCTGAGCGACAAAAGAACATTAAATAAGAAAACAACC